TTTAATTATCTTAAATCAATTACTTTTCAAATTTTAATACCTTTTAAATAATGATTTACAAGGATCTTCTTTTTTAAAAAAATTTTCGCACGCGATGGATGAAAATACATATTTGCGTTTATTTTAAGAATGTTATGACAGAGAGCTGTCAAATTGCTATCACATGTTCGGTGGCTTGTAAGGACTTTACATTATAAATAGTACGCAAATCTGCTTAATTTATTCATTTAAATTAAAAAGATCTTATTTGGAATACGATCCGATTTAGACCACCCCTATTAATGTTACGATTCATTCGTCCACATATAATCTGTCATTATGATTTATTATCGTAAAAATATAATCTTAAAGAGATACGCCTCTTTAATGATACAAGAGATATTCAAATTTAAATATTTTTCTTCTCTCTTAAAGAAACTTTTCATTAAAAGAAACCCAGAAATCTTAATTCAAATTTACAGATAATATTGGAAAGTATATAATTACGTAGTAAATTTTTATTACAGTAAAGCTTGATTTTAAATTGTCACTCTCGAATATAAATGTTATGTAAATAAATATACACATAATTAAATGTTATATATACACCAATATACAAACAATTTAAAAAAAAGTATATCATACATACATAAACCAGCAGCAGAAACAAATTCGTTTATTTTTTTGGCTAACAATAAGTGAACTGAAAATAAGTAAAATACAAATTTTTAAGTTTATAAAAAATAATATTAATGTCATAAATGTATTAAAATTCTTAAGATAAGATGTAAGAAACTTTGATATATGTATAAATGATTCGAAAAGGTTTCATTTCAAATTAATTTCAAAATTATGCTGAATTTTATCCAAAATCAATGTCTATTCGTTTCTAAAATCTGCTTGAAGCAATAATATATGTACGATCTGTATATATACATATGTGTGTCTACACATACGTCTGTATGTGTTTAACAGCACTACGAAGAACGATTGACTCATTTATTTAGTATACAGCTAGATGAGCAAACAAGAGATTGTGAATTCAACTTGCACAACGTTAATTCATTTTATGAATTTTTCATCAATTCGATCAAAACATCAAATCGATAGAATTCAGTGCTATTTGCATAATCAATTTAATAAAAATGATATATCAATGACATTTCATGTGTGTGAATTAATTTTTCTGATAATCAGAAACGGAACATTTAATTATAAATACTAAATAAAAAGAACATTGAGAAAGATTTATGTAATTATTCTCAGGGATAAATGCACATTAGTGCACGTAAATGCTAAAAATATAAGAATTGTGCGCGCGTAATTTACTCATCATTTTTTAAATTATTACATATGTTTATAACATTATTTTTAACATTATTTTTATATATTATATTTAACGTTACTTTTTGTAAATTTATCAAAAAATTTTTAATAAAAATAATATTTCCTCGAAAATTTATCTTTATTTTATAAATAATACTCGTCAAAAAATAATACAATATTTATTTCAGAAAAACAAAAAAAGACCAAATGTAATACCATGAAAATGAAACGAATATAAAACATTCGATATATATAATACTTATATACACTGTAAAAAGAAATGTTTTATTCTTGTCCCTATTTTTTAAACACTTAAAGATGTTTTGTCTATTGAAAAAATTCAGAACTAAAACATCTTTAAGTGTTTAAAAAATGGAGACAAGAACAAAACATTTTAATATTTTAAGATAATACTTCTTTTTTCAATGTAATTACAAAAAATTTAATTAAATGTAATATAATATACTGAAAATAATGCCAAATTACATTCAAAGTCAACAATAGTCACTCGTTTTTAAAATATACTCTTTTATCTTTTCCATCATTCATTAACTTTTAAACGCAGTATGTCCCAACTGAAAACTATTTGCGAGATATAAAGTAACTTCAATTAAATTCTGATTAACTTAATCGGCGATTGATACAAAATAGCAGAATTGTTTAAATTAAAATTTTATTACGCAAAATTATGTAATTTGGTATTTCTAATCTTTTATTTTTATATATCAAACAACAAAAAAGACGAATTATTATATCTATTCTAACAAATACAATAGAACAGTTACTGATTTATATATTATTTCCAATTATGCGTATTTGTTACATGTAACAATAAACAAGGAGATATCAGCTAAATGAACAAAGTTAATATTTGTTTGATCTAATAGTAAGCATTTATCGATAATTATTCAGTATAATCAGATACTGAATATCAATAACCGATTATTTAGCATTAAATTTGGCCAGTCTTTCTTGCTTAAAGTTGATTGGCTGAATGCGAAATATCGTGAAATTTCACTCGACCTTGAAGATTCGTTTAACCTCCGATTATCGCAGTAAGATCACGCTGCATACCTATATATTTGTCTGAGCGCAGCACGTTTGTTGCTCACAGTTTCGATTTACCCGCCGTACGTGACAGTTTCAATAAAATTAAAACACATAATTCACATTCAGAAATTGAATAATTTATTGTCGAAAATGTATTTTTCAATTTATGATTACTAATTTATGGTATTTTAATTAAATATTTTGGTGAGTACATTAAAATGTAAAACATGTTTGAAAAATGATGGATAAATAAGCAACAAAAACATACAAAATTTGTAATACGAATCGATTAAGTTACTGATAACATTTATAATATAAATGTTGCTGATAACTTAACACTTCTTAAATTTAAAATTTGATAATTAAAATAATTGTGTATTATATAGATATATGCGTGTGCGTGTGCGTGTGCGTGTGTGTGTGTATGTGTGATATATTTTTTCTCTTTTAATCTATGAAACTTTTATTTGGAACAATTAAAAAAAAAATTAATACGTTTAAGATGAGAATTTAAAATAAATTTTGCTGTGTATACAATTTTTTATGTGAGATATATATATACACAGTGTATCCGAAAAATCAAGGTCAATACTTCGGGAAGTAATTCGGGACCCAAAAAACAGGAAAAAAAGCTGTATAAACATAAGTCCGGAAATAAATCGTTTCCGAGTTATAATCACCTTTATGTTTAAAAAAATTGTTATTTATTCTTCATAATTACAATCGTGATTTATTTCATAGTGTTTTAACATAAATAATTACATTTCGGATTATTTTGACGTTAACCGTGCAGGATGCACCACGTGGAAGCATAGTCCGTTTGGCATCCTTCTTTTTTTATTTCTTTATTTTAAAATTTTTCTTACTTTACTAGAGAAATGCCAAGTGGATTATACCTCCACGTGCTTGACGCCAAAATAATCCGAAATGTAGTTATTTATGTTAAAATACTATGAAATAAATTACGATTGTGATTATGAAAAATACAATTTTTTTTAATATAATCCCTTTATATACAGGATGTCCCGTAAGTTTTTGCCGCTTTTATATAAATAGAGCCAACTAAATTGAGTCAAAAAATTCTCTACCATTTTGTAATTTTCGCAATAGTTAACGAGATATTAATTACTAAAAATTGTTGAATATTAGTTTTCAATAATTTTTTACTCAAATACTATCAACTTTACAGAAAAACTGCAAGAGACAAAAATCATTTATTTTCTTCTCATAGAACTCTAAGAATTTTTTCAGAATTTTTTATCAACTTTTCAGTACTGCATTTTCTTGTTTCTATCAATATGAGAAAATACGATATTAAAAAATTCTGAAAAAATTTTCAAAACTTTATGAGAAGAAAATAAATAATTTTTGTCTCTTGCTGTTTTTCTGTAAAGTTGATAGTATTTGTGTAAAAAATTATTGAAGACCAATATATTCGGTAATTTTTAGTAATTAATATCTCGTTAACTATTGCGAAAATTGCAAAATGGTACAGGACTTTTCGAATCAGTTTAGTCCACTCTATCTACACAAAAGCGATTAACAGAAACTTACGGGACAACCTGTGTATATAGAATATATATAAAAATAATTCAGGATATTTAAAAAATTAAGATGTAACAAAATAATTTATATAAAAAGAATTAATTCTAAAGAAAAGTTGAATCTAAAAATTGACTTGAGCTTGTTTGATCCGAATAATCGTAGATCAATTTTAATAATCTATGATTATTAATATATTAATGAGCAATATGTCTTTTCTTATTAAAACATTTAAATTAAAATCACAATTTAATTCAAATCTCTTTAGCCAATTTTTTAATTAGCCAGTAATTCTATTAGGATTTAGAATTCGCTTTAGAAATCGTACTTAATCATATAGGTATCATACTACGATTGATTGCAGTGTTTAGCACTAGCAATTTTCACAGATAGAATATAGCCCCTCTTTTTTGCCCCCTCCATTCTGATATTCAAGTAATTACCGTCACGCAAATTCCTGTTCTGCACATTAAAACTTCTAAATCACGCAGGATTAGGAAATATTGATTAAGAATCCAGTTGATCATAAAAAATTTATTTTTTTTTATTTAAAAATAGGTTACTCAAGTCAATCCCCTAATTATGACTTATTTAATAAGTCATTACAAATGTAATATGTAAATATAAAAAATATTTGTAAAAAACATTTAAGATTAATTAATAAATTCTTAAGAAAATATGTGAAAAAATAAAAATAATAAGAATTTAAAAACATAATATAAAAATTTTAATTAAGGGTTTTATTAGTATACGTTTATAATAAGCTGTTGTGTGAATTTTTATTTTTTACAAAGTAAGCATTAGTCGATCAGATAACGAAACTATGTAATTTCTTTTTTAACAATTTTTATAAATTTCATAAATCCTAATAAAATTGCAGTTTAATTAGTAGATATAGGATTTAATTTTCAAAAATTGAAAATTAAAACCATTTTACTTTTAATGAATTCTTTTATATTCACGTTAAGAAAGAATTAACGCCAAACAATTAATGAATAAACTAATATCAAATATATTTGTAGGTTTCTCGCAATGCAAATGAAGACAGACGTCATAAAATTTATATCTAATATTATAGTGATCGACATTTATGAGCTGTAGTTTAGAATTTCATCGACATTACAATAAGAATGAAACTTGTTTTCTTCATACTTATGCTTACTGTAGTGTTACTGGAAGCAAAACTAAACTTATGGGGAGATTTAGTATTCTCTCGGAAAACAATATTCAACTATCTATTTTCTAAAAATTACGGTGTAGTAAGAGTGAGGAAGCCAGAAGAAGTCAAAACTGCAGTGAACAATGTAACAACATTGGATTTTGTAAGTGCAAGATCGTCTTTTGTCTCAAGAAATGCACTCTCAAAAAATAATACTGCGATTAGAATTTTAATTATTAAAATGAAATAAACCTTGTATATAAAAAAAACAATTTAACTGTATTAGCGAATAGTAATTAAATAGCAATTAGAAATATCTCAACTGCATTCTAAATTACACAATGCTTTAAAAAGATTTCGAGAATTGCTAGAGAATTGCTAGAGAATTTATTATATTCACTAAACTGAGCAAAAGTAAATGTAAAACATTGAAATATTAATTGCTTAAAAAATTAATTTCTACAAAAACTACTTTTATTTTATTTGCATTATTTAATAATGCAAATTAATTGCATGCAATTTTGAATAAAACATTATCTCTTTTGTATTAATAGATTTTGTTATGTTACGTAAAATATTACATGGAAAATATCACGAAAGATATTATTGAAAAATCTTGAATCATTCTTTAACATTCAATATGTCTGCGCAGATTGGTTTAGTGGAGAAAAATGGTTACTCAGCCGAGGAACATTATGTCATAACAGAAGATGGTTACATCTTGGTGCTACATAGAATATTAGGAAATTCTTTATTTAAAGGTCAAGGAAGTAGAAAAGTTGTATTTCTTCAACATGGTATTCTGTGCACATCTGATTGCTGGGTATTAATCGGTGCTAGCAAAGATCTTGGTGAGTGATTATCAATACAATTTATACCAGTCATTATTATATCTTAATCGACTGATGCCTGTTTCTACCAACGTAGTTTAATTTTAATCTCGTTTCAACAAACTCTTCATCTTTTTCTAATTCTAAGAATTCGAATTTTTCATTTTCTGTTCATCCATAGTCTGTGTAAAATCTTTCACAACACATGAAGAAATTCTATTCTCATAGATACGAAAAATGAAATTATAAATATATTTATTATATAGATTGATATAGAAATTAAAAGAATTACAAATATCACTAACAGCAATAATCATGAAATTTTCAACATTTGAAGTCACAGTTCTGGATATATGATATGAGATAATTAGATACATGTTACATTCACACACACACACACACACACACACACACACACACACACACACACACACACCACGCGCGCGGGCGTGTATCCAGTTGAATCTAAAATTGAGGATTAATCGATATGTTCACCTTGACTTCATTTGATTTCAAGAACTTATAATGGGAACAGTGGAACAACTCAGGTAATAAAAGTTTTGGCGAATATTTATTTTAACAAATTAGATCAAAAGCAGGATAGAAACATAGTAGTAAACAATTGAAGTTCAAGAAGTAAAAAATTTAGCAAATTCGGTTAGATTAACTCTATTTCAGATATTTTATTATATTATCTGATAAAATTTAACTGTTTTGCTAAATTTAAAAAATTAAAATCACTTCGTTATATCTTAATAAAGCAGCAATAATGAAATTGTTTAAATTATCTAACTATTTTCTAATAAAATTTATGTCATATCATAAAATTTATTATTACATGCTTAATAATACTATATATTTATTATATTAACAAGAAATTTTATTATAAGTCAATTCTATGTTCTATTTTATTTTTTTAATATAGATAATCATTTTGAAGAAACTTTTATTAAAACAACAAAATATTGTATATAACATTTTATTTATATATTTGGAAAGAACAGAAAATATTCACCAGAGTAAACAAAAAATGTCTAATAAAACATTACCATAATAAATAAATGTTTTTACAAAAAGAAAAACAATTATTATTTTTTTAGAAATTTGATTATTAATAATAAATAAATCCAATGATATAATAAGAGAACTAATTATGTATCATGTTATCTTATGTTCCAGCATTTTTATTGGCTGATAAAGGATATGATGTATGGCTTGGAAATTTCAGGGGAAATGCTTATTGCCAATCACATATAAAATTATCTTCACAAAATAAGGAATTTTGGCAATTTAGGTAAAACTTTATTTTGCAATTATCGAGTTTTTAAACTCACTTCGATCGATTTTTTCTTAACAAAAATATTGAAGCATATAATGCATCTATGCAATATTTAATACACCTTTATATTTGTTATTAAGAAAACATTGATTTTAATTATCATGGAAATTTTTTTTTATAAGAAATCTAGTTTGAATTAATTAACATAAGAAAAATATACATAATATAAGGATAAAAATCGTTTAAATAACAAAATGTCAAAATATTTCTTTAAAATATTTTATTTAATTCAAACTAGAGAGAGATTTCTCTTAAAATTTCTAATTAAAATAAATTATTTTAATTAAAAAAATCAAAACTCTCGTAATACTGTGAATGGACCATATTACATGTTTTAAAATTCTTGTTAAGAAAAAATCAATTTTAATTATATTAAAAATTTATAACTAAATATTCAATAAATAACTTAAATATTCAGTAGTAAGATTAAAAAATAATAAAAGAAAAAATAAAATTTAATTTCATTGTCCAGCTATCACGAAGTAGGAACGAGAGACTTACCAGCTATGATCGACTATGTACTTGATTACACAAAACAAAAGACTATACACTACATCGGTCATTCGATGGGAACTACCGTTTTATTTACTTTACTATCCATGAGACCCGAATACAATGCAAAAATAAAACTGGGAATCTGCCTTGCCCCGGTCGCCGTATGGAAAGAAATATCTCCTTTTTTGGAATATGTTCGTAATAACATGCCAAAGATTCTGGTAAAGATCAAAATCATATTTTAAGAGAAACTAAGATATATTTCATATAAATTATATAACTTTATCCTAATAATTAGGAGAAAAATTGGCATTAGCAATATTTATTTTATATTTATTATTATTGTATAATTGATTACACAGCCACACAAAAAAAAATTTTTTTCTGATCTTGGGGTCTGATCATGTTTATTGTATGTTTTTGGGATCGCTGAATCCGAATCCGAGATCTATTAATCCCATCACATCAGGATTTTGCCATAATGT